TTAAATATCTCCTCACAAGCTCCATGAGAGGGCCTAGGGTTTTGCTCAACATACACTGCATCACCAGTGACTGACCTAGAGCGGGCACTCCACACATATTTGTAGAACAAATAAATTACATAATGAACTCATGCTTCTGAAAGGGGCAGCAAGTTAAGCCCAGGAAAGATCAGGAAAAAAAAAAGTTATTTGTTCAAAAAAAAGACTAAAAAGTCAAAATAAACCACTCTTAACATGACCTCATATTTCTCAACAAAAATGTAGCTACTGTCTTTGCCTGCAGCTCCACTGTCATTCTTCTTCTGATCTTGGTTCTTAGAACAAAACTAAAGCTAAAAAAAAAAAAAACCCTTTATTTTGTTATTTTAAAGGGAAATAAGAAATACGAGAAAACATTCATGGTTACAATTTTCCTGAAAAAAAGAAGAGTAAATCGTTAGAGGACTAGTCCTACCAGATTTTAAAACATAATTTAAAACCTCACAATGATTAGAAGAGATCAGAGAAAAATAAACAAGTGAACAGAAACATACTTCAAATACGTAACCAAATACATATGTAAATTTAGTTAATCCGCATTTAAAATCAGTGAGGAAGAGGACGATCCATTAAAAGGGACTCAAGCCACACAGCTCATTAGTGGTGGGTCAGCTATTGTCTGACTTTCTGACCTCTGAACTTATCCTATCTTTGTTTCTCTCTTTATGAGACCACAATAGCATGCAGCGGGAGGGGAGAGCGGCGGGGGGGCGGGGGGCGAATATTTAAAAGACAGAACAAAAATGTAAAATTATTTGATGGGGTAGTCCACCCGGACCGACGGGGCTGAAGCCCGGCCGTAGGCAAGTCTAGGACCTCCGGAGGACTCTTCATCTCGGTGGTAACCAAGCGCACCTGGCGCTGACGCCAGCAGGTGCATCAATCTCCGCGGTGCAGGACCCTCTAGGAGTCGACTCACGCGAGACCCAGCGTAGGACCAAACCAGCCGAGTCAGTGCAGAGAAGACATTTGAGCCTGTGGGAGGCAGCCTGAGGGAGCACATGCGGGTTGGTGGGCACAGCCGGGGTTGAAAGCGAGGAGCCGGGTAGGGCGACCGCCTCCTTGGGGAGCACGCCGGAAGTGGCCGCCCGACCCTGGGCGTGGTGTCCAAGATGTTGGCTCCGCGCCCCAATTAAGAGCAGGGGCTGCGCGACGGCGGCCCTGGAGGGGGCCCCAGTGGAGCGGTAGGCTGGGGGTGGCCTGGAGGTGAGACCCCGTTGCGTTCGCAGAACTGGGAACCCTGGTGCCTGGATCCCTTCGGGAAGCGGGGTGGACAGCAGATATTCGGAGGCAGGAGGCGGACCCCTCTTTTCTCCGGGTGGGAGAGGCTGGAGCTTCCGGGACGTGGGTGCGTGGTGCATGGGCTTGGGCCTTCTGTGTCCTTGGCCCTCTTCTGGGTCTCGGTGTGCCCTGCCCACGGCCCCCCCGCCGTCCCCCACCCCGGCCCCTTGCTGTCTCCACACCCCACTCTAGTGTTTTCCAGTTTCCTCCTGTGCGTATTGCAGACTGCGCCTCCCCCAAACCCAGAGTCAATCCTCAGGCGTAAATTGACCCTATTCTTTGGCCAGCGCTGTGGCAGGCGCGCTTGTAGGTGTAACAATGGACAAGATCTGTTTTCTAAGCTCCAGGAGTAACTGACAGCCCCACTGGGGAGACTAGACTGAACTACAGGAATGAACTGCATGCTTCAGACATGTTCTAATATTTGATCTAAACTATTCGCACTTCTGGAGTTCAGAGGAGGGAGCGATTTAAGGCTGGCCTCTTCTTTGTAAAGGTTTGCATATACTTTCAGGAGTAACTTCAGAAATCACTTTCTTTGAGAAGCCTTCCAGGATTGCCACCTCCTTACCTCCATTTTTAAGCTTCTCATTTTTTTTTAGCTTATTTAGCTAGTGCTAAATTCATAAACTCTTACCACTTTGTTTCAGGTGTGTGCCTGAGTGTGTTACAGGCCCCCTCTCTAGCCAGGGACTCTATCTTTGTTTAGCATCACCTAATGCATGCACATGAATATGAATTAAGGAGGACTGAAATGGTGCCCTGGCCGGGTGGTTCAGTTGGTTGGAGTGTCATCCTGTAGACCAAAAGGTTGCTGGTTCAATTCCCAGTCAAGGCACATATCTGGGTTGTGGGTTTGATCCCCAGTCAGGGTTCATAGGGGAGGCAACCGATGGATGGTTCTCTCTCACATCCATGTCTCTCTCTCTACCTTCCTCTCTCTCTAAAATCAATTTAAAAAAGAAAGGATTGAAATGGTTAAAAGGTACTGACTAAGGTGTCTGCAACAGTGGGAAGTATTTGTGTAAGTCAGAGGTTGAAAAATGATGGCTCCTGGTCAGATCTGACTAGATACATTTTCATAGTTCATGTTGTTTTGTTTTTATTTGAATTAGTGGCCAAACTTTTATATCAGGAAATTTCTTTGACATCCATTCACACAAAAATCTAGATTTTCAGTACCTCTAGGAAAATCAGAAGATGTAGCCAAACAGGGCCCAAGTCCTGCATGGTGCCATTAGCAGGAGTTGAGTAGCAAGTTACTCCTTTACACTCAGTCTGAAATTTCCAGATTCCTTGTCCCCACTAATCCATTGCCTCTCCCTGACACAGAAGCAAAGTGTCAGTTGTCATTTGTCACTTAGTTTGCTGCACTCCTTCTGATTAACTGCCTGGCCTCTTGCAGCCATTTGAGTTCTTGATTCCAGATGTAGACAGAGGTGAGTAGGAAGGGCATCACAGTTAAGAGAGTCATGGGCAAAGGGATGGAATGGAGAGAAGCATAGTATATGGAAAAATTATGGAGGATTCCAGAGCATGGGTTTGCTTTTAGAGGAATCGTAGAGTTGGGCTATTGTTATGAGTTGAATTGTGTCCCCCCAAAAAGATACTTAAGGTCCTAATCACCAATACCTTAGAAAGTGATCTTATTTGGAAAGAGGGTTGTTGCAGACATAACTTGGTAAGATGAGGTCATACTGGAGTAGCATGGGCCCCTAATTCAGTGTGACTGGTTTCCTTATAAGAAGATGGCTCTGTGACGGGATAGACACAGGGAAAGTGCCACATGCAGACTGAGTCAAAGACTGGAGTAATACATCTACAGCATAGGGAACACATGGGTTGTCACCCGGCTCTAGGAGAGAGGCGTAGAACAGATCCCTCAGAGCCTGTAACTGGCTCTGGGCAACCTGTTTGGACCTAAAAGTGATCCACAGTTTGTGGCTGCCTCTGCTGGGCCTGCATGTGCACGGGAAGGACCAAGCTGTGCGCCAAAGCTGGCTTCCACCAAATCTGGGGACAGGTCAGCAAAAGGCCCCAGGCACCCAGAGATCTGCATCTGCCTGCCTCTGCCTGCCGGCTGCCTGATGGTTTCAGTCGCTGAAGGAGCCTCTGGCAGTCACTGAATCAATAGTCCAACTCTACGATTCCTCTAAAAGCAAACCCATGCTCTGGAATCCCCCATAATTTTTCCATGTACTATGCTTCTCTCCATTCCATCCCTTTGTCCATGACTCTTTCAGTGACTCAAGATGCATGAAAAAGGTTTTCAGTGAGTCACCAGGTAGAAGCATGTGGTGTTTGCCAGACTGATACGGGTTCAATCTCAGTGCTAGTGCTGGGTCTGAGGCCACTCAGCAGATGTCCCAGTGTATACCAAGTCTGGCTGCCCCCTTACTGGGTGCCCGCAGACCTTTGTGGTGGGCCATGGTCTCAGGAAATCATCAGAGTGAGGCAAGCAGAGTTTATCCAGACCAGACAGACCAAGATTTGACTGTGAAAAGAGGACTGCACCAGTCAGCAGCGTGAGAGAAAAATAGTCCCTGTCCTTGAGCCACACACCTCAGTCTGTCCCAGATTTTGCCCAGAGCCCAAGTTCAGCAGAGCAGGGCCACCAGGAGTCCAGAAGGACGGGGTTAGTGGATCTCCCATGTGGGCGAGTACCAGTCAGGTTTGGGGGAAGGAGGGAGGAGTGGCCCTCACCCCAGAGCCACACAACTCAGTCACTGAAACCCCCTGAGTCTGCCCGGACCTCTACACCCCTTCCCAGGCAGCTGACTCCTCAGATGGACGTGAGCTCTGAAAGATGGGGTGACAGGGAGTTTGGAGGGAGGGGCTATTGCATTCCCCCAGGCTGATGCCATAAAGAGGGGAGTGCTCCAACCAAGAAAGATGGCATCTGCAGTATGGGGAATGACTCAGCCTGGCAGCTGTCCCTTCAGCTCTCTCCCCAGAACCACAAACCCCAGTCTCTCCTTAAGCAACTCTAGTCCACTCTGCCCTCCCTCCACCAAAGCAAGAGTGAGTGGCTGTGATCGAGATTCTGTGCATTGGCCCTTTAAAAGAGCTCCTATGTCCCTAGCAGACTCCTGTCTCTCCCTGGCAGACAGAATCCCCGCTGATTTTTACAGTCAGATGTTATGTGGGTACTTCTTCTGGCTCTGGTGCTCTGGGTTGGGGAGCCCAGTGTGGGGTTAAGACTTCACGCTCCTCAGGGGGAACTTTTGCAGCGGAGATATCCCTCCGAATATCAGCTGCAGCCCATGGGTGTGGGGCCAGCCCATTGTGCGTCTCCTCCCACTTCCTATCAATCTCTCTGTGGCTTCTTCTGTAAATCCTTGGTTTTAAGACTTCTGTTCAGCTTGTCTTCAGTTGGTTATTCAGGTTGATGGTTCTATGTTTTTGTTGTAATTCCAGTTTGGTCCTGGGAGGGCATGAGTGTAACGTCCACCTACTCCACCACTGTCTTGGAACTTGGTCTCATACATTTTTAAAGGGAGTGGCTAGATGAGCTCTTGAGACCAAGGGTAATGCAGGAAGTAGTAGAGATTTAAAAAGAGAAGAGAGGATACTGGCTCACAACTGGGCAGTTTTTGAGCAGGAACTTCTATTTCAGGAATTCAAGATGCTACAGGATGCAGCTGTGAATGAATCATGAGAGGATACTGGACACCAGATCTGCACTCAGTGGAGTCTGTGAGGAAGAGGCAGAGCTGGTCTTACTGGGTAAGGGCTCTATCCTCTAATGTAGAATCCATACACTCTTAAGTTCTCTGAGTTTTAGCTGGAAAAAAAAAAAACAAACCAGAAAGGTGTTTTCAAGAGCTGAGTGGAACTAGAGGATGAAGGATTCCCAATGGCTTTGACCCTTGGAGGCAAGATTCTTCAGCTCTTTGTTAAAGGATAGGTAGCCTGACCCATCACATCAGAAGTTCACAGCTCCTTGACTTTCCTTGTGCTTTCTCTATCTCTGTCTTATTAATCCTGTTAGACGAATAGATGACCAAAACTCTCTTCATCTTCAAATCTTCAGACCTACTCCTCCCACCTTTGAAATCTACTCTTCTTCCTGTGTCCTCTGTCTTCATAAACTGCACCATATCCCACTCATTGCTCAAGTCAGAAAACTGAAAAGTCATTCTTGACTTCTTCCTTTGCCCACATGCAGGTACCGTGTTCTGTTGATTCTAGGCTATCCCATAGTAGACAGTGCTTATCTTATTGGTCACTGATCACACTATCTTGTTATGATCCTTTTACACATATGTCTCCCCTCCATTAAACTGGAAGATTCTTGAGGGCGAAGATCACATCTAACGTTCACTTTTGTATCCCCAATACCTAGTACAATGTCTGGAACATAGTGGGTACCCAGTTAATGTATGTTAGGCAGACAAATCAATGAATGACATGAACACTGAGGCACTTTTCCCAGAAACTTTGAGTTCAGCTAAATTGGACTGTGGAGGAAGACTTACCACTGATCAAGCCCTTGTTTCAGATTCTGTTCCCTTCTACTTCAGACATCCTCTGAGGGAAAGAGTTCCTTAAATTACTCCCTATGGAATTGGATGAAAAATTTGAGTAGTGGGGCCACTTGTCTCTGAAGAGAGAGCTACAAAGACTGGGTACTTTGCCATACCCATGTCTGGGGCAAAGGTTGATTCTAATGATTCATATAGAAGAGCACTTTTATCACTATTTCCAAACAATTTATTGTTCCCCCTTTGTAGCCCCCTTATTACTTTGCTTATATCATCTTCACTTTGTTCTAGATCTAAGGTGAAATTATACTGTGCATTCATTATCAGCCAGGATCCAGTCAAGAGATAAAAACTATACCAGTGATTTAAACAGGGGACATATAATATTAAGAATGTTTACCTAGTAAAAGGTAGTTAACTACTAAAAGGGTTACAAGAGGACTCTAAGGAACATAAAAATCAATAATGCCGGAAGCAGCCTTACCTCTCATTAAGGGAGAGCAAACAAGGAGGGAACCAAGAATTTAGAAGAGGACTTCACAGCTAAAAGCTGAGGTTCAGACATTTTTTTAAGAGGTTGTGGCTGCCAAAGAGACACATAGCCTGATGGCGGTGAAGAGGCTTGTCGGAGGGCATAGGCCAGAGCTGGTCTATGGAAGTGGCCTGCCTAATGCAGAGAAATTCACTGTAGGGTATAGTCCATAGGAAAGGCCTGCTGGGTGGGCCAAAGGTGGTCCACCACAAGCTATTAAGCCTTCCATCTGTTGATTTGGTGGCCCGGCAGAAAACAAAATAGCTCACTAATATCAGGAAGGGAAATCCCTTGCTCTGTATGGCTTACAGTGCTCCTTCAGGGCCCTCTACTGACGAAGCCAGATGACAGAGGAGAAATATTTCAGGGTCCGGCTCCAATACCAAAAGTCGGGCAAAGAAGACAAAATGGGCCTGCATAATATGATCCCATTTTCGTGTACAGCAAAACATTGGCAATGGCTGTCTTTGGATGGCAGGGTCAAGGGATTATGAGGGCTTATTTTCTCTGTTTTTTATTTTCCTGTAATAAACATGTAGTATTTTTATAATCAACAAAAAAGTTTTGGAAAAAGTGTAATTTTAAAAGATTCTTCCTCTAAAATTATGAAAAAAATATGATTATGAAACACATTAAGAGTTTAAGTCACTTGAATGGTATCTGTTGATTTTCTGTCATGAAAGATAAGTAGCCCAATTTATACTCACTCCCACTCCTTCTCCTCCTCATAGTACAATTTTTATAATTATTTTAACGTCATCATTATTTAAATCACTTACTTCTTGGTCTACGAAAATAATTTCCAATTATTTTAAGCTTAGTTCTTCATTTAAAATAACTCAGTGCTCACCATCCATATTTTTTACAACCTTCACTCAATTCCTTAATGTTTATTTTAAGTTATTACTTTATCAGCTATATTTTAACCAAGTAGTTCTTTTCAAAAAGAGGGCTAATGAGTGTCAAATTCTGTGAGGTTTTTTTTCCTACCAGATAATGTTTTCTGGTGCTTTTAACATGAAAGTGCATGTTGCTGGGTAAAAAAATTTGGGGAGCACACTTTGTTTCTCTTCATAACTTTATAGACATTACTATACAGTCATCCCTGGGTATCGGGGTTTAATCTGGTTCCAGGATGCCTGTGGATACCAGAATCCACAGATGCTCAATCTCTTGTATAAAATAGTGTAGTATTTGCATATAACTTACATACATCCTCCTATCTACTTTAAATCATCTCTAGATTACTTATAATAACTAATGCATTGGAAATAGTTGTTATACTCTATTGTTTAGGGAATAATGACAAGGAAAAAGTCTGTACATGTTCAGTATAGAAGCAACCATCATATGCCTAACTATGTTGTACATGTCAGCAACAATGTAACTTTTTTAAAAAAGATTTTTCAACCAGTGGTTGGTTGAATCCACAGTTGTAGAATGCTAGGGTGTGGAGGGCTGACTGTATTCTCTCTGGCATTGAGTGTAACTGTGGAGAAGTGTAAAATCAACCTGAAATTCTCTCACACATTACTTGCTTTAAACTGCCTAAGTGCCCATTTGTTCATTTGTTTCTGAAATTTAGTTACTTCACCAGGGGATATTTTGGTGTTGACTGTTATATATCAACTTTTTATGGGCTACAACACACCATTCCAATAGATTCAAGTCTTCCTGTCAGCAACAGTTTCTTCTGTTAACTATTTGAATGTTTTTTTTCTTTGTTCTTTTCTTTTTGTTAGGAACACTAATCGTATGTATTTGAATATCTTTCTATTGCTACTGGTCTTCTCTATAATTGTATTTATAACCATTTCATTCTGTATGATTTCTCTGGACCTCCTCATGACCCTGTAGTGATTATTTTTGTTGTTTCTTAGGTGAATTTCTTCTGCATAATGCTTTTAGTTTTCTCTTGCATTTCTTTTCTCAGTTCTCTCAAATTCTCACTTTTTATTGTTTTATAACCTATAACCTATTTTGAAGCCTTATATTTGTCTGTTCTTTCAGACAGTGGAGAACTCTCTGATGCTTCATGTCAGTTCCTTTGGTATTCCTCTGGGGTGTATGCTCCTAATCCCTCTGTTATTCATGTTCCTTTCTTTCCTAAAACAACCACCACCACCTGTGTTCAAGCACACTTCCCACACAGTTACCTTAATGATTATGACCGAGCAGTGAATGAGTCAGGCTCTCCTTGAAAGATTACTGTGGGAAGAGGCAGAGGGAACGGAGGTAAGGCACTTCAGAACCTTCCTGCAGATTTGCTCCCACATACACCTTCTCCTCTAACCTATAGCCATATCTCAAGTTTTTGGTTTCCAGGAGATCAGCATGGCACAAGATAAAGCCCTTTAGATCACAGACTTTTCATAATACAATGTGAAGGAATCACACCATCTACTACCCCTGCACCTTGCTTAACCTCTGTCAGTTCCTTAGCGGAAACTAGGCGGGAGGTAAGAGAGACGACCTGCCAGCATGGCTCCCCCTTTGGCATCTCGTCCTGCCGCTCTGACATGTCAGACTGGCTGTCTGTGGAGACAGTCCTTGCTTTCTCCATGACTCCCCTCCTGCCGCCCTCTAGATCCCTTCACTCTAATCAGAAGGCCACTGGACACGCCTTCAGAAATATGAACCTTTGGGAGATGCCTGTACATGGCCCTCTTTTTTAAGATGAAATCCACCTCATTTGTCATTCTTTTTCATTTTTTTCAGTGGCTTCTGAGAAATACCTTTACCATCTTTTAGTCTGTTTCTGACTTTTGAATGTATATCAAATGAACAAACCAAAAACACTTTAGGAGAAAATTATGATAAAGCCAATTCCTTCCAGTATTTTATTTGACTGTTATTTAAATAAAATCCAGCCTGGATATGGAGGTTTGTGCTAGGGACATTTTACTTAATGATAATTCTTGGGCTTAAAGGGTAAAGATTAATAATAATAATAGTAATAATAACAGCAGCTGCCACCTATATAGTGCTTTCTACATGCCAAGCACTGTTCTAAATGTTTTACATATATTTATTCTCATAACAACTGTGAGGTAAACGTTCTTATTATCTCCATGTTAGAGTGAAGAAACTGAGGCACAAAGAGCTCCAGGGACTGGCCTAAGGTCACACAGTCAGGAAGTGATGGAGCCAGGATTCAAACACAGGCAGTGGTCCTGTAGTCCATTAGGAGCCTATGTTCTTAATCACTATGTTGTGTTGCTTCTTATTTATTAGAAAAAAGATTAATGACTAGAGAGTTTATAGCACTAGGGCCAAGGTGAAATGGCTCTCTCAAGGAGCTGTTTTTGTGTGGGAAAGGTCAGGGATTTGAGGATGTAGGCTCTCAAAAATAGTAAGCTCATCTGCTTCCAGTCACAGGATACAAAATTCCCATACAAAAGGAGGCAATTCCCCCTGAATAACAGAAAGGAAAATGCCAGATGTGATAAAGGGAGAATTGATTTCTATTAAAATGACAGGCAAATATTTGTATTCTGAGACATAGTTTCAGATTTGTTTAACTGTCATGGTATATTGGGAAGAAAGGGTAGGGTGCCAGTTATTAATTTATTGTCTCTCAAGCCCAAATATCCCTTTCTTTGCTTTGCTTTGCTTCTGTTACTGAATCTCAACAATTTCTCCTTTGCCGGCTGGCACAAGTTTTAGACAGTTGTCAGTGGAGGATGCTGGAGGGACAATGCAAGGCCATTGAAAAAGAACGGAACTCTTCCTGGTGCTCGTGTGCTTTTTTATTACACACAGGATCCAACAAGTTTCTACCCCATCCAAAAGGCCACTTCTTGGGGCCAGCTCCAGACTGCCCACCTCCTCCAGTGAATTTTCCCACCACTTCTACACACCATCTCCAGCCTGCACCTGACAAACATTTTCTCTACCAGTAGGCTGTGTGTTCCTGTGGTAGCCACAGTCTCTCTAAAAAGGGTTGAATCTCAGCCTCAGTGAGGAATAGTCCTCCTCTAGTGTTTTTGTTCCTCCTCCTTAAACTTCCCAGCATAGGGAGAGGTGATTTTTATATTTTAGGAATTACAGAATGGCCTACTTATCATTTCAGATTCTGAGACCAGGAATAAGATGAAGAACTGGAAGACAAAGATGAAAGTTTCTGAAGAAAAAGATTTAGCGAGGGCTGTATCAGGAAGGCTCCAAAGGCAGATCTCCCAGGAAGGTGGGTTAGTCAAGAACGTTGATCCCAAGGACAGGTTATTGCTGCATTGGGTAAGCCCCTTAGAGGATGCAGTGAGGCAGCCTCCTTCCAAAGAGAGAGCCATCAGGGAAGTGGATCTCATCCCCAAGAAAGCCATTGCAGGAGAGAGGGGCCACGGATATAATGAAGGAGGAAAAATACTTTCTGCTGGAGAAAGATCCCACAGATATGACATCTGTGGCCAGAGCTTCAAACAGAAGTCAGAAGTAACTGAGCATCAGAAAATTGATAATATCAAGAAAACCTATGAATGTAAAGAATGTGGAAAAACTTTTAATCGGGGCTCAAGCCTGATTATGCATCAGAGAATTCATTCGGGAAAGAAACCATATGTATGTAATGAATGTGGGAAAGACTTTAATCAAAGTTCAAATCTTATTATACATCAGAGAATTCATACAGGAAAGAAGCCTTATATATGTCACGAATGTGGGAAAGACTTCAGTCAGAGTTCTAATCTGGTTAGACATAAGCGAATTCACAGTGGTGAGAATCCCTATGAATGTAAAGAGTGTGGGAAGGCCTTCAAGGGGAGCTCAAACCTTGTCCTACACCAGAGAATTCATAGCGGAGAGAAGCCATATATATGTAATGAATGTGGGAAGGCCTTCAATCAAAGCTCAGATCTTATAATACATCACAGAATTCACACGGGAGAGAAACCATATGAATGTTATGAATGTGGACAAGCCTTCAGCCAAAGTTCACATCTTGTCACACATCAGCGAATTCATACTGGAGAGAAACCCTTCAAGTGTAATGAATGTGAAAAGGCCTTCCGGCAGCGTTCACGCCTTACGGAACACCAGAGACTCCACAGTGGAGAGAAGCCCCATGAATGCTGTGAATGTGGGAAATCCTTCAGTGGGCGCACAACGTTTCTTAAGCATCAGAGACTGCATACGGGAAAGAAACTGGAATGTGAAAAAGCCTGCACTTCTGACTTGGATCTTATCAAACAACAGAGAATTCATAGGGAAGAAAAGCCATATGAATGTAGTGAGTGTGGCAAAACTTTCCGGGGAAGTTCAGATCTAATTCGGCATTGGATAATTCATACTGGAGAGAAACCGTATGAGTGTAGTGATTGTGGGAAAGCCTTTAGCCAGAGGTCTCACCTTGTTACACATCAGAAAATTCATACTGGAGAGAAACCCTACCAGTGCCAAGAATGTGGGAAAGCCTTCCGGCAGCGTTCACTCCTCATTCAACATCACAGAATCCACAGTGGGGAGAAGCCCTATGAATGTAAGGAATGTGGAAAATCCTTCCTCTGGCGCACAGCTTTTCTCAAACATCAAAGACTTCACTCTGGAGAGAAACTTGAAGAAGGTGAGAAAACATTCAGCAAGAATGAGTTGTTTAAAGAAGAGCAGAGAATTCACCACAAAGAGAAAGCTTGTCCAGGTAATCAGCATGGTAGAACTTCCCAGAGCAGCTCAGAGCTCATCACACATCAGGTCACTCACGCTGGAGAGAGACCATATGAATGTAAAGAATGTGGAAAAACCTTCAGTCAGAGCTCAGACCTTATGAGACATCATAGAATTCATAGTGGAGAAAAACCTTATGTATGCACTAAATGTGGGAAATCTTTCAGGGGCAGCTCAGATCTTATTAAACACCACCGTGTTCACACTGGAGAGAAACCCTATGAGTGCCCTGAATGTGGGAAAGCCTTCAGTCAGAACTCACACCTTGTTAGTCACCAGAGGATTCACACCGGAGAGAAGCCCTTTGAATGCAGCAGCTGTGGGAAGGCCTTCAGTGGGCGCACAGCCTTCCTGAAACATCAGAAACTTCATCCTGGAAAGGCACTTGGGGAATGTGAGAGGGTCTTCATGCAGGACTTACTGTAACAGGTTGTACAACCTAATGAATGTAGGAAAAGCCTGGTGGAGACCACTTCTTATTGCACTATAGAGGATGTTTATTATTGAAAACCATTTGAAGAAAGGAAAACATTACAAGAATCCTACTGGATGGAAAACATGTAAGTATAGTCAGGTGGAAAAGTTCTTGGCATAAAATAGCCATTCTTCTGCCTCAGAACTATACTGAATTATGGTCCCCAGCATATAATGACGTGAGAGTGTTTTAGGCAACTTCTATTGTTACTAAATCATTAGAAATCACATTGGCAACAACCCCAAAACTAAATTCTTCCTAAAAGGAGCCCTTTATATCTTGACTGCCTAGTCTAGTAACCAGTATAAATCTTAAGTACTTTAGTGTGCTTAAATCTTTCTCTGGAATGAATTCTTCCCCTTAGGTAGGTGTTTTAGCACATATTCTCTTTTTTCCCATCTTTATAAAAATCTTCTCATGCATATGTGACAATGCTAATTAGAAGGAATCGCTAATTGAGAGGAAACCAAAAATAATAGAAGCGACGTGACAAGATAACTGAAGGCCAGGAGGACACAAGAGCCAGGTGAGGCGTTTCCCCAGAGGCACAGCTGTGACCACTGGTAGCATCAGGAAATGAACAAGGCAGGGACAGGAGAACAGTAGGTTTTGGGACTAGGATAAGGCCAAGCGCTGGGACTGAGCACTTAGGTGACATGGGTTGGTGGGAATGAGAAGAAAGCATCTGCTGTGAAAGGTCAGGAGGTGGTAAGGAGAGTGGTTTTCTCTTGAACCAGGACTTTGTAAGGGGGCCCAGCTTAGTTGAGAATTGGGGAGTCAAAACAGAACTCTGAAGACAGGTCATCATTTAAGCTGCCAACTGATTTGGTAATTAGGTCCTGCCGATCTGTGCAAACCTAGTCCTCAAATAGTTCTAGTACCCTGGACTACTGGTAGATTGTATCTGGATTTCCATGAGTCATCAAATAAGAAAGCTACTGAGAGGGACAATGCAAGGTGAGGAGAATTTCAACCTGTTTTTCCTCAGCGTAGTTTGTGAGATGCGTGGAAGGGGTCAGTGGTTTGAAATGAGATGGTTTTGCCTCCAGGGGACATTTGGCAGTGTCCAGAGACATTTTAGGTGTCACAACTTGAAAATATTGACATCTAAAGTCAGGGATATTGCTAATATCTTAAAATACACAGCCCTACCCCCCTCCCAAACAAAGAATTACCTGGCCCCAAGTGTCAGTAGTGCCGTGCTTGAGGAACCCTGCCCATGGATCTTTAGGACACCAGCCGCCTGGGGCCACTTACGCGAGCATTGCAGTGTGATGTGGGCAGTGGCAGTGCGTCCTGGGGGACTGATAGAAAGCTTTCATTCGATTAACTGTTTTAGGAGGCAGTCTGGTGTGGAAGGAGCACAGACATAGGTTTGAATCCCAGTATGATATATTGGTTTCAGGACTGGAGCAAATTATACAACCCCTCTGATCTTTATTTTTCTTACTAATAAAATGGTGATAAAATAATCTACCTCATGGAGTAATTGTAAGGTTTAAATGAGAAAACTGAAATTTACTGTTGACACACAGAATGCCATCTGGAGCTGTAATCATTTTAAAACAAGATGAAGTATTTACGAGCAAAACGTAAGATGTATAAGATACAGTGCTGTCTTGTGACTGGTATACAGAATATGAATCTGTTAAAGTTCAAGGCACTGGGGGACTGTGGCGTCCCCAGAGGGGCACCCTAAATAGTAGTGGTATGTCTTGGAGTGGAGAAGCCCATCCACACCATCCCTGAAAGCTGGCTGCCCATGGATGGTGGCAGAAAGCCTGCCTACTCCCATCGCTGCCTCAAATGTTAAAACTATTTAATAATATCATTAAACTAATATTCTTTTTCCCTCAGAGTATCTTTAAATATATTTAGGAAGCAAAAAGATTTCAAAATAGCTATTATCAATGATACACCTGGATTAAAAATTAAAGATACTTAACATTTTTGAGCGATTCCAGATTTTAACTAATCAAAACCTTTAGCTAACTGAGACATTTTATTCTTTTTTTTTTTTTAAGCAAAAGGAATTAGGAATTTATTCTAACAAACCCATCTCCATGCCCTTTACCTTATACATTGAGAGTGATGTTTATAAGGATGTGCAGGGTATTGAAAGGGACCTTAAATAGCTAAAGACGTAAACTCCAAGTCTTTTTGAGGAACAGGTGTGATTGGAATGTGGATTAAAAGACATCCCATTATATAAATATTTCATAGGAAACAAGATTGTTACTACCACCTTGGGGAAAGAGCTTATGAGTATAGTAGAGGAAGGCAGTGTTACCCAATAATCTTCCAATTTGGTCCATTTTTCTCAGTTTTTGATGCCCTTAAAATGAGACCACCATCATCATCTCTTGCTTGTATTATTACCACAGACTCCTAACATGCCTCCTCCTTCCACTTCTCTACAGAGCAGCCTGAATATCCTTTCTTTAGAACAGATCTGAAGAGCCACCCATCTCCAAACTTCTGTAGTGCCTTCCCACTAGCCTGAGCCTGAAGCCCAGCCCTTACAGTGTTCTGATCAGGCCCCATGCATCCACTCACTTAGTAAATACTGAGCTTCTAATATGTGTCAGGTACAGGGTAGGGATACGAAGAGGGGTGAGCAGAAGTAGACAACAGTCTCTGCCCGGTGGAGCAGAGGAGAGTTTAATTAGAATCATACCTAAAATTACAGCCATGGTAAGTGCCACAAAGGAAAGGCATGACGGTGCAGTGGGGAGTTAGACCTTGCTGGGGAAGGTTTTCTGCGAGGTGCTTACCTTTCTAAATCCAACATTTACCTCTGAACTATCTGTAGCTCCCCAAGGACCTAGGCGCTACCCTCTTCCCCTATGGCCTTTCCACAAGCTGTTTCCTCTGCCAGGAATGCTCCCTCCCCCCTCACCTAACTCCTTTTTGTTTTGTTTTGTTTTGTTTTGTTTTGTTTTGTTTTAGTATTTCCTATGTGTTGAGTACTGTGATAAGGACTTAACACCAATTTTCTCTTGCATTCTTTGCCTCCATATTAATTGATGAATACTACTGTTTTCTAAACAGGAAAGTAAGGTCAGGAAGGCAAAATAATTTGCCCAGAGTCAAAACCTGTAAATGAAGAAACTGGAATTTAAATCCAGGCCTCCCTGACTCCAAAGCCCACTTCCTTCGGCACTGCAGTGTTGTCTCCCAGTTCCTTCACATTGGCCTCACTTACTCTGGTCACCTTCCCTGATGTTCACCCAGTGAGGGTTAAGTGCTTCCACTGTGCCCCCTTAGGCCATGGCCATCATAGTCAGTCATCATGGTATTCTTGTCACTCCACTAGACAGAGCTCCACCGGGAAGGGACTGGGTCTTTCTGGTCTTTGCAGGTTCAGTGACTCCAGGTGGAAGGAGCCACGCCTCAGACAGCAGGAGAGACGATGGCTCAGGCAGGCAGAAGGGTGGCCCTGCTCCAGGCTGGTCTGGAAGAGGGGAGGACTCCACTGGTGGTGATTCCACGCGTTAACCAGGGAGGCTACAGGGGTGGGAGGGCCTGGCTGTCCGCTTTCACTGCAGCCTGCCTCCCACCCGGGCTGGACAATGGCTGCAGCCCCAGAGGAAGTGCTGGGTGACACGGCGACCTACCACAAGTGTTACACCAACGACCTGCACCCCCAAAAAAGACCAAATAAAGCCCCTCTTCTGCCTCAGCAGGGCAGCTGACCTCCTGTCTGAACCCCATGGCCCTGGGGCCTCAATGAAGTTTCCCTTCTGTTGCCTGGAGCAACAAAGAATGTTAAAGAAATGCGTGCATGCATGCAGCCTGTGGATATCTCATATTTGAGTAAATGGAATAGTGTGTCAATTCCCTCAGCTAAAGAAGAGTTTTGGTTCATCCTTTTGATATTTTATCTGTGCCCATGTCACATAAAGGGATACTATTTAGATTAGATGGGTGATATAGGGCTTTAGTGCCATCACCATCATTTTGGGGGATAAAGGATTTGCATAGCAAAATAAACAACGGCAAAGACATCATGATGCTACCCCTTCAGTGAATTAAGTTTGTAATACCCAAGTCATCATTTACAACCTCTTATTTGTTGAATTCATTCATTAATTTTTGAGTGGCAACCCTGGGCTGAATGTGGTTTACTCTTCCTTGTGATCAGCCCGGTCCTCAAGAAGCAGGACAAAATTAGCTGACACAAAGGGCATTTCCAGTCTACTGACCCCGGGAGAGAAGAGGAAAAGTCGGAGAAAGTTTCACGTCAGAATGAAGGTGTCCTACAGTCAGTAAATCCCAGATTGGTGCACACTGTGGATGCTCGCATGCTGAAGCTGTCCACATTGATATTCAAAGGGCCCCCCCATGTGAATTTTCTGTGAACTCCAAGGTGCAAATTCTATCTTAAGGTGGAACCCATTACAATAGTAGGGTCGCTCACCAGTGTGAACACTGATGCAGAGAATCTCTGAACTCCACCTGAAGACTGCTCCACCAGAGGAGTCTTGAAGCCTTCCCAGCTCTTTCCCACAGTCAGGGCATTCCTGGAATGCCCCGTCCCTCCACTTCGAAGTCAATGGAGCAGAATGTGGATTATCATCCTGCTGTAGCGAATGGTTCCTCACCTTCCCCACGCACAGCCCAGTTTAGAGAATGCTGGACATAACCAGCAAACCAAGGGCATAGAGGCATTCTGTTCTGTTCTTGATGAATTTTGTGGGTGATCTGCCCAGGAGCTGTCCCAGACCTCTGCCATTCCAGCACACAACCGCCTTTCTTAGCAAAAGGCCTCAAGTGACCAACTCTGCTGGCCCTAGTCCCCATCACCTTCACAGCTATCTTTTGAGTCCCTCCCGCCATCCCAGAGGACAGTGCCTTCTTCCCTCTTTCTGAAGCCAACCCTGCCTTCCATACCGAGTTTATTCTTTCAGACTGCAACTAAATTAAATCTTAAAAAATAGTTATTAACAGAGTATTTTAATAGACCTGGTTGGAAGTCTGAAAGAACCGAGGATCCCTCAAGTGTCTGCAGGTTTACTTATTGAATCCCACCTTGGGGCATGAAACGTCTTCACAAACTACAAATCACTTAGGGCTGAGACAAAGGCCCAGGTCCTGGGCCATCACACCCGGAACTCGGAGGTAGGATACAGCTCGCGCTCACTAGTGGCAAACAACCTGCCCACTCCGGGGTCCCAGAGTCTTTAACATCCTGACCTCATTGGTCACTAGTAAAAGGCACCGCGGGATCTCAACTAATTGGCTAGCGGGAGGCCGCCTCCAGGCCAAGTCCCGCCCCGGGGCCAGCAGAGATTGCGCACCGAAGAGCGGGGTGAGGGGGAGGCCGGCTTCCTGCAGCAACCACAGTCAGGGGTCGGCCCCTGTCTCCTGGTGGGGCTCCTACCTCTTCGTACCGGAGGCTGAGTGGAGGCCGAGCGCGTCTGGTGGCTCCTTGGAGATTTGGCGGGTCCTGGCAAAGTTGAGTCCACCAGGTGAAAACACTGCCTGCAAAGCGTGTTACAATCAATTAAAAAAAAAAAAATCAACCGGGGTACCGCCGGAGGCAATGGAGTTGCAGCCGGGTCCCCGCTGGGAGGGGACAAGGGAGGGACGGCCAAGAGGGTGGGAAGGAGTGAACCCAGGTCCTGGGGCTTCTGGAGGGCTCCCAAGCTCTCAAGCTGCTTCTCTCCTTCCTTCCTGTGCACCCTTCCCCCCTCTGGCAGGCACAGACGCCCCCCTGCTTCTTGGGAGAACCCAAGCCTCTCCTGCTCCTCAGCGCCGCCGCTAAATTGTTCGAGTCCTCTCAGCGCTGAGCCCCGCGCCCAGAGCAAGTCCTATTGCGTCGCAGGTGCTCCACCAGGCGCTGATGAATGTGCACCCCTCACCCCCGCGTTACTGAGGCTCTCCTCCTCGGGTTATTACCAGAATTGTCCTCGCCCCTACCCACTGGATTTTACTGAGGCCCCAGCTCCCGTCCCTTTTCAGGGGTTCACCCAGCCAGGTCGTTTTCACATAGTTTTATTCCAAAGCTGAGGGGATGAGGTGAGGGAAAGGTTATTGGTTACTTGGTATTTTTTTCTTAAGGTAAAAGTGTGCTTTTAGGAACTCGTGAAGGACTATGGGGTCAAAGGACGGGTTTCAGATGGTCCCTGAAACCACATGCACATTTTTCTAGGCAGAGCTTCTTGGGTTTCAAAGATCCCTGACCCCACAACCTTAGGGGCCTGCCTTAGACCAGGAGTCACTTGGAAAACTTGTTTTTGAAAGTGTCTTAGCCAATAACAATAATAAACACCAGCCCAGAAATCTCAGCAATAAGGTGATATTTTTAAAACTGGCCCATCCAAACAATCAGAATATCTTACATTAAGTTGTTAATTATGAAAAACTACACAGATAGGTAACACTTGTCCTGTTATGAAAGATCTCACCAAGCAGAGCAGATCAAGGAAAGAGCAAGCGGCTTGTGCAAAGCCAGCCGCTAACAGAGCACAACATCTCGGGAAGGTAAGGGTGAAATTTACAGGATGGGGACTTAACAGGACAGTACACAACATCATATTAAGACCAGAAACAATGCACTTTGGAATAGTAAACATTGGAAAGGTATCAAATTAGTAAAATTGTAAAGAAATACTTTACTTCTCCAAAGTTAGTATACTAGTGAAACTCCTTAGTTAGAGGGTAAAGACATACATGGACATAGCTGCAAAAATTCTGAAGGGTATTTCTGGGTATTTAGGCAGGTCGAGATTTTGAGACTTTCTTTTCTAATGGGTATAAAATTAAGGAAATTATTTTTTCTCTTGATAGAATTCTACTTGCACAAAATTATGATTACCTGTCAAAACTATGATCAGGTTTTGACTCCCAAGTAAATTGAGAGGGAAGGAGGCAAACAAGGAGAGAAATCTTCCCGAGGTAACTGGGTGAGGTGGGCAAAGGCAGGGAATAAGATGAAAATAATTTCATTCACCAGAATTCCTTGTCGGAAGATTCTTCTTAAAATAAAATGTGAGACCTAGCCCCCTTATGAATATGCTCAGGTACAATTTGGTCACTAAATTGTCTTACAATGGATGTCCCAAGAAGTGAATTAACTGAGTGACCTTTTCTTTTACTGAAGAGTGGGAGGCAGTGGGGGTGGGGAGGGAGCAAGGGACAGGGGAACAGGAACTGGCTATCTGACAAAAAAAAAGAGCTGGGGTGAGCGAGCCCTGAGAGGGATGACAAAGAGAAAGAACTTCATTGGCAGTTTGCCAAGAGACTTCTGAGAACAAAATGATAGGACGTGAATCCACTTCTCCCCCTCTTACACAACAGCATCTTCAGCGAAGTCCATGTTACTCATGGATGTGTTTGTGTGAGATTCTTTGGTGGGAGCTTGAGGTGGTACTGGGATCTATATCAAGGGCTGGTAAGGGGTAAATGTGGAAATTATGTGAACACAGAAATCAGAAGTAAAGGAATAGGTGACATCCAAGTTTTATGTGAGGAGGATATGATCTGGGTATAATTCAAGTTGAGATTACACTGTACTCATAATTACCCTACAGAAAGAGGTAAGTCAAAGAGTGTCTGCTAAGAGCTTGGCTGCTAGAAGCAGAAGTACCTGAAAGGATGTGGAAGCTGTATAATCAACTGTTTATTTGCACAGTCCGTTTCTCAAGCCAAGGTGTAAACCTGGGAGATCATATACTGGGATACAGAATAAACCCACTTGGTGGGTTTTGGCTGTGACGTTTTTTCCCAAGCACATGATGTAAATCCATTTATATTCAAATCCATGTAGCAATTAATAATAGAAAATGTGCAAATGATTTCAAATAAGGCAGTAATGAATCCACCTAGCCACAGCACAGCACAGTGGTTAAGAGCAGACCAGGGTTGTAGTTTGGGCTCTAGCACTTACCAGTTGTGTGATCATGAGTAAGTTACTTAATATCCCTTCTGGCACTCCTCATCTTTTAATCACTAATAGTTGTGCAACTGAAATCAACTAAAAAGCATTCAACCCAACATTTGAAATAGGTGAATTTTATGGTGTGTAAAGTATACTCAGTAAAGCTGTTTTTAAAAACAGTACCTAGATCAAAGACATGCTGTAAAAATAAAGATGTAAACTGTTTGGCACTGTGCCTGGCACATAGTAAACACTTATAAATATTAGTGATTAGTATTAGTGTAATAAAGAAGGGATTAAAGAACACTGAAGATATATAAAGTTAGATTTTTAAAAGAATCAAAGAACTATTGGGTTGGATGAAATTTCAGAGACCATTTAGTTCAACTCCCTTCATTTTACAGATGAGAATATTAGGGACCAGCAGGTGAAGTGCCTTAATTCAAGGCCTAGCTCTGAAACCAGACCCTAAGCCTGCTGGATCCCCATTAGTGCAATTCCCACTCCCACCCACTGCCTCGGAAATATGAACACATAAAAAATTGAGGATGTGTTTCCTCAAAGAAGAAAAACACATAGAACACAGAAAACTCATGTAGAAATGAAGAATGAGAATTCCAAGGCCAAGGGCAAACTGTGAAGAAGCCATCACATCCTGGCCTATCAGTCCAGTGGGGTCCAGGTCATGAGAGCGTTAAGTGCTTTGGCAAGGAGGCCCTGATCGGTGAGGTGACCTGCTCATCACTGTGGCCAGGTGTCTGGTGACAGTGAAGCTGCTCAGTCCTGTCTGCTACTTTTTGACATACGATCTGTCAGCAGCAGCAGCAGCAGGAGCTGGTGCCAAAAGTGAATGCAGTAGAGTTCTTGTGAGTAGTCAGTCTGAGCAGCCCAAAGTGTGAAATAGCTGTTAAACAGCTGTGTTTTTGCACATGCCGAGTAGTCTGGCCTCACATGTTTATCATCCCCTGGCCTTGTTCATCAGCCCCTCTGAGGGCCTTTACTTATGATCCTGTAAGTTGCCTGTCAGTTTCCTTTATCGTGGCACCCTGTTCTAGCAGGAGATATGAAATGACCCAAAGATTTCCACTTCATTAGTGCAGCCATCTTCTAAGGGAACTTGATAGCACATTTGAAAGATTTTTGAAGCTAATAAACTTTACTGTATTATTCCAATGCTAAATGTTGGCCAAGATAACAAGCTTTGTCTTCTAGGCCAACGCTTTCCAAGATTTCAAGGGACAACACTCAATGAGTCAATTCTCATTCTTAGGAGGGGATGGGATCACATTCCTCCATTTTTCCTGAAGTTGGAACAATTTAGGCTAGATGGCTGGTGTGTAGACCCCTAATGGTATGTGACCCACTAGGGGAGGAATTAGGAAGGGAAGGAAAAAGGGCAGAGGAGAATTAAGGCCTGAAACAGCTTTTATGATTTAACTCAGTACACTGAAACTTCTCAATGAATAATTCATAAAAGTGCCTCATCCTACTTGACCAACCGTTTAAATAAAAATCAGTAGAAGGACAGAAGAGGTTCTGTCCATTCATTTGATCTGAGAACTTGTGATGTAGCTTATGCCTGACCAGCTTTTCCACAGAAAGTTTTCCCATTTTGTAAATTACTCCATACAATGAACACTTTGATGTCGAAGTAGGTGAGAACTCCGACTGAAGGTCTTCTGACATTCTTGGCACTCATAAGGCTTCTCTCCAGTGTGAATTCTCTGATGTATGATAAGCTGAGAATGCTGACTGAATGTTTTCTCACACTCATTACATTCATAAGGTTTCTCGCCAATGTGAATTTTTTGGTGAAGAAGCAGCTCAGAGTTATCCCAGAAGGTTCTTGCACACTCATTACACTGATGAGGTTTCTCTCCAGTATGAATTCTCTGGTGGACAATAAGATGGGAGGTCCGCCTAAAAGCCTTCCCACACTCAAAGCATTCATAGGGTTTCTCTCCAGTGTGAATTCTTTCATGTCTAAGAAGTTCTGAGTTCCCCCTAAAGGCCTTCCCACATTCCTTACATACATAGGGCTTCTCACCAGTATGAATTCTAATATGTCTAATAATCTCTGAGTTCTGGCCAAAAGTTTTCCCACATTCATTGCATTCATATGGTTTGTCCCCTGTATGAATTCTTTGATGCCGGATAAGCTCGGAACTCTGACCAAAGCCTTTCCCACATTCGTTACAGAGATATGGTTTTTCTCCAGTATGAATTTTCTGGTGTCTGATAAGGCCTGAGCTATGCTTGAAGGCTTTGCCACACTCATTGCATTCATGATATCTTTCTTCAGTATGAATTCTCTGATGCTGAATAAGCTGTGAGCTAACCCTGAAGGTCTTTCCACATTCATTACATTCATATGGTTTCTCTCCAGTGTGGATTCTCTGGTGTAGAATAAGGGCTGAATTCTGACTGAAGGCTTTACCACATTCTTCACATTTATAAGGTCTCTCTCCAGTATGAATTCTATGATGGTGGATAAGATGTGAACTCTGTATGAAGGCCTTTCCACATTCATTGCAAGCAAAGGGTTTCTCTCCCGCATGAATTCTCAGGTGCCTGCGAAGACTTGAGTTAGTTCCAAATGTTTTTCCACATTCTTTGCACTCAAAGGGTTTCTCTCCACTATGAACTCTCATATGCTGGATAAGATGTGAATTCTGATTAAAGGCTTTCCCACATTCTTTACACGTATGAGGTTTTTCTCCCACAGAACTTCTCTGTGTTTTGTTAGGTTCTAAATTCTCTATGATGTTTTGGCCAGAGGTAGCAAATGTACTAACTGCCTCTGCTGTAGTACCTCCCTGACATGTCACCAGGTCTGGGCTTGGATTGTACTCTCTCACACTCTCATTCTCCTGGTCTTTCTCACATGAGGGTGATTTCTTAAAGATAATCAACCCTGATGCAAAGTCTCTCTCCTGAGAAGATATCTGCTCCATAATCTCTTCTGTGGACTCTCCTGAATGTCCCTCCAACAAGTCTTCTTCATATGAAGCTCCGAACTCATGACCCTTGTAAACTACCTTTGGTAGTTTTTCTATTGCCCCATGTGGCTCAGATTCTTCAGAAATTTCTTCCTTGGGAATTATCTCCTTGTTCTCAGTCCCCATCTCACAATCTGAAATGAGAGAGAGTAAGTATGTGAAGTGGCTATATCATACCTAAATGAAGCTAATGCTAGAAGAGTATGGAGCTTGGGCATGGCTATGACAGCCCTCAAAAGCAGTCTTGGTATCTGCTGAAATGAGAGGATGCTGCTGAAGAGAAGAAAAATATTTGGAATTATGGTGGACATGCTAAACAGCAAATGCTAACTGAAAAGGGTGAGAGAAATGATCAGAGGAAGAGAGTTAAGGAGAGAAACAAAAAATGGATAGTAAGTAGATGTTGATAAAAGTTCCATAATATTAACAATGAATTGGGGCAGAACCTGAGGTTTGGTAAGAAAAACATTTAGGGAAAATGGTGGCCATATTAATACATAGTACATGGAAAAGGCTGGGAGAAGGGACAAAAAAAAAATGACTAATACAAACAAGTTTTGGATTTATAGAAAAAGTAATTTAAAAAAAATAAGTAGAAAGAGGAACTATCCTGAGCCCAGTCCACTGGTGCTCAACAGCTCTACAGAACAGGGAAATGTATATACACCCATTCAAAAGTTAACATGAGTTAGCTATAACTAGCACAGAAGTAACTATCCTTGGCTCTCTTATATTTGATGAAGAAAGGTTCTAGCTTAATTTTCTCCAGACAGTAAATTGTATAAATAACTACTTTCTTTTCTTTACTGATTTGAAATGCCATCTATATCATAGTCTAAATAACTATATATTTGGGTTAATTTCTGGATCAATTTCCAGGCTCCATTCAGTTCTGTTAATCTGTCCTTTCCCTCTCTAATACCAAACTGTTCAATTTACTACAGCTTTAGTATAATTTGTAATGTTAAAGTTCACTTTCATTAGTCTTTTTTCACATATTTCCTATTTTCATATTTTTCTATATAACTTCAGTATAATTTTGCAAAATTTCTTAACATCCTGATGTTTTGTATCCATCATGTCTCTCTACGAATTTTCTTTCAGTACATTTTTTGTATATTTTCTGATATACACACACACACATACACACACGTTATTGATTACATATTAATTTTGTAACTAGCTCTTTTATAGAAGTTTCTTAGTATTTTTATAGATCTACAGCCTATACTTTTTTAAACTTCTAAAAGGCTGTGGCAAAGATTTTTAGTTGTCTATACCAAATCTATTTTTCCCTACCTCATCAGCAACAGAATAATGAATTTATTTAGTGTAGCAATAAGCCTAGCTAAAGAAATAAATTCTCAGACTTCTTTGCAGCTAGGTATTGCCATGTGACCAACTTCTGGCCAATAAGACAGTAAGATGCAAATGAAAGAACACAGGACATACGGGAAGTCTCTTTCAGGGTGAGGGGATGCATTTCTTCACCCTCTTCTTCCATGCTGTGCTTGGGGCTTGAGCTGGTAGTTGGAGTGCCATCTTGAACCATGAGTACACTGGCACACCCTATGATAGGACCTGGAAGGAACCTGGGTCCCTGACGACTCCATGGAGCTGCCATATCAGCCCTGGAATGCCTGCCTCTGGAGTTCTTTTATTTAAGAAAGAAATAAGCTTTGTCTTGCTTGAATCATTAGTTGGGTTTTTTTGGGGGGGGGGGGGGGGGGGTGGGGGAGTTGGTTGGTTATTTTGTTTTTTCTTTTAGTTTTTTTGTTCTATGAAGCTAAACCTATTCCAAACTGGTACAATGGCCCCAGGAATTTAGCTGTCCCAGTCACAGAAGTCCAAATAAAGGGAAAATAAGCCTGGCCTCTGTTCAGGTTGTAAGCAACCTAGAGCTAATATTGAAGAGGCTCTTTGCCTAGGTGAATGCATTTTTTGTACCATCGCAAACCTGAGGAATATAATCCTTCCATCAGTAAAAGTGTTAACTGTGGAAGGTAGTTCTCAAGGTGGGGATGGGTAGCTATGGTACTTTATTCTTTAGAAAATGCAGTGTTATGGAATGGTTTTTAAACCAAGGGGTGACACAGTCCATTGTTAGACTAGCATTTCAGGTGGATGCACACTACTGGCCAGCTAGTGGCTGAACTAGAAAGTAGTATGCCTAGACATGGGGAGGTCAGTTAGAAGGTTGATGCAGTCATCAAGGTAAAGGGTCACTAAATCTAACCATGGTAACAATAGTGGTGAATGAAGAGGACACATACTGGAGAAATATTTAAGAGGACATATTCTGTAAGATTTGGCATGTGAGGAATAGGGATGAGTCAAAGATGGTTCCAAATCTTCCTTTATTTGAGGAATGGTAATTAGATGGACACTGGTACCTCCGAGGTTGGGAGTACTGGAGGAGCAGCTAGTTTAGAAAGGAAGACGACAGATGGGCTCTGTTTTGGACTATATGAATCTCAGAACATCCACATAAAGGTGCCACGGAATCAATCAAAATATACTAGTCTAAAGTTTAGAGCAGTCAGAACTAGAAATACAGAATTGAGAGTACTTAGCATAAGTGATATGAGCATAGTATGAGAACTGTCAGATATACTGAGGACAGAAACCTAAAAAGCCAAAGCTAACATTTAAGGATATTCCAATTATCTCCCATCTTCCTCTCCAGATCTTTCTACCTTTCTCCACCCTGCTCTCTGTCCCAGAAGGCTAACCTATACAGCATGTATCGACAGGCCCTCTGGCTTCTAGTTTTGTTCCATCAATGGGGAAGCCTAGCAGGAAACTGGAAGTAGGGAAGATAGTAAGGTCAGGATATTTACTACCCTAGTTCCTATGAGATTACCTTGGGCTGATGTTTTCCCTCAACTGAAGGTCATTACTCCTCACAAGGAGTCTATCCTACCCAAATGTCTAAACAACTGGGTTCTCAGTAACCTCTCCTACCTCTTGTCTCTTACGACCACTCCACTGTTGCCTCAACACCCTGTCCACACATATATCATTTATAATTAACCTCTTTGCAAATATACCCTCTTCAAATTATCCTAATTTGAGTCAATTATCTGTTTCCTGTTAAGACCCTAATGATAAAAGGGTGGGTGGAGGAAGAGAAGCCTCCAAAAAGAGAAAAAAATGATTACTGAAGTAGAAGAACCAGAATACAGTGTCAGAGAAAATTTAAGTGTCACATGCAGTTGAGACATCCAGTAGAATAAGAACTGGAAAGCAACTACTGGGACAATTAGATAGTTACAGATGACCTGTGAGAACAGAATCAGTAGAATGACAGAACAGAAGCCAGTGACAATGGACTGATTAGTAAATCTGCTGCTTCTTTTTAAAAAATTTGGATAAAAGGAGAGGACCAAGATGGGCAGTAACATTAAAGGTCAAAGAAGGGTCAGAGAAGAATTTTCTATGACAGGAAAGATTTGAACATGTTTATATTAGAAGTGACGGTGCCAGTAGAGAAAGAGGGGTTAAGAGGGAAAAGATGAGATTACTGAAGAAATGAACACCCTAAGAGGCAGGAGACACTGGGGTCAAGTGGTGAGGGAAGGGGAAAGTGGTGATTCTGGGGTGACCTTAGGACTGTCCTTTTTCCTCTGCCCCATCTCTCAGTCATACACAGGATGGGAGTTACTACCACCTTCCTACCCGGGGGCTTCCCAGTCACTCATCAGTGCAGCCCTAGTAATGCCCTCCACGGTACCTGTTAGGAACTTGATCTCCTACTGGAATCCTGAAGGCTTGGAAGCTCTTTGTGCTACCCCTCAAGATGACCTGGAATCTTCTTCAATTTTCCCTGTCTCAGCGTTTTCTCTTGTTTTTTCATGTAGTAAGGGGCGAGCACCCAGAAGCTAGATTTCCCCTTTTTGTTGAAATTTTTGAAAATTATAGACAACATGTATCTATATAATCGTAAGGATCCATTGTAGAGAATTTAGCTACTTTCTTCATCCATGGTACCATCTGAGTTGGGAAGTACTGCCTTACATAAATTTCTCTCTAATACTCAGCCAAGAGAAAGTTCCAGAGGCTAGTATTTCAGTCCCTATCTACTTCCAGCCCCGTCTTTCACCTTTCCTTTTCACCCCCATCTCTCCTGTAGTTACTTGTTTTCTATCATCTAGGTCTTTACAAAGTCATCAATCATAGAACCTAAATCTGTACCACACCATATGAAAAAAATCACTTGTCCACAGTAAAATAGGATAAAGATATGAAAGTTAGATATGTACCTATCACCAGCTTCAAAATCTGTTTCGAAATTCAAATCCAAAAAGTATTTCCTAACTAAAGTTGACCCCCTCTGACCATTCCTTTGCTTTGCATCCTACCAGTGACAAAATATTAATGTCATTTATTAAATAGCACTTTATATAAGTACCTTCTCATATACATATCAAAACCAGTCTCCATTTGGTTGATTTTCCCAGAGGCACAGCCACACATTAAACCTCATCCTAATATGGAAACAATCCACTGCTCATAGCCTAGATTTACATTCTTTTAAAGATTTTATTTATTTATTTTTAGAGAAGGGAAGGGAGAAAGAAGGAGAGAAACATCAATGTGTGGTTGCATCTCACACGCCCCCTACTGGGGACCTGGCCTGCAACCCAGGCATGTGCCCTGACTGGGAATCGAACCAGTGACGCTTTGGTCTGCAGGCCGGCACTCAATCCACTGAGCCAAACCAGCCAGGACTAGATTTACATTTCTAAACATAATTTCCTATCTTTCTGTTTCTCACTTTAGTACTTTTCTAAATTGAAATTAACTCTTTCTGGTCAGAAATAAGATAGAGATGCCACCAGAGGAGGAAGTTGACCACTCTTGGTCCTCAGTCTGGGGGATGAGAAGCAGACCTCTACTGGGCCTCCACGGTTCAGCATAAGGTCTTCATCTCTGCAAACCTGGATTTGTTTTTGTCAATGCACCCTAGAGCAGGCTCAGAAAGCCTCATTCACAAAATACTGATGCATAAACCAGACACACACCTATAACAATGAGAAATAAAACTTTAAAAGGACAATACTGCCTAGATGAAAATTTGCAATGGGAAGCCACCTAAAACACTGAAAATTGTTTAATAAGCTTGCAATCTAGCAAGATTCTTTTTTAAGTTAACGGCTCTTAAATGATGATTCTTGGCTTGATACTAGGCTAGGTGCCTAAAAATCAACTGGGAAATCTGTTAAAAAAATACTAATTTCCCACCTCAGAACTCTCAGAATCAGAATCGCCAGGGGTGGCCAAGGGATATTTATTTTTAAGAAGTACCACAAGTGATTGTGATGTCCCACAAGATTTGGAAACCACTGTATTACACAGTGTTAATTAACAAATGAATTTATCCCACTCTCAGTCTGGTGCATCCATCCCTACCCAAGGTCTGGTCCACCAAGTAGCCAAACATGTGTGTAAAGCAGCAGTATTATATTGTAGATATATGACTAGTTCTTGCTCTGACTTTTTTCCTATCCTTCATCTTAACCGCTCCTACCCTTCCCTAAACTTCTGAGGGCAGACAGGGAAGATATAATACAATTAGCTAGATTCCCTTTTCTGAGTTAAAAATCACATTCTTGTTATGCTTATCAGACTGACCCTAGCTAGGTACTGCGACTGGACCTGAGTTTGCCCAAATTGCCTATGTCAGAGTTTACAGCAATCTCTTGTGATAGCAGTATCACTTAATCCTTTGAACTTATCTGCTAAAAATCACATTGTAATTTGCAGTAAAAAAAAGAAAAATTTTTTTTAATAATCTGTCAGCCTACAGTCTGATTTGGTCTTTTGAAAATTTTGTTAAAAGCACATATCGGAACTTAAATTACAAAAGGTCCAGGAATCATTTACTTCCCCAGCAAACTCTCCCTTTGTGTGATACTCCAGAGATTTTTCTATCCCAGAGTAATAATATACCATAGTAAAATTAGAAGGGTATGAGTGAGAGGTATGCCTTTCCTTTGTAGAGGAGGAAAAGAGAAAGTTCAGGGTGATCCATTTTCAAGTAGATCAGTGGTAAGCGAGGATAAATACAGAAGTCAAGGATCTAGATCCCCATTCAATAATCCATTTGCCCATAGATATTACAGAAAAGGTTTGTGTACCTCCTCCATGTATTTCAATTCAAAGACTATTGCACAACAGCACACTGGGCAAAGCCTCAGAGGCCAGGAAGTACAAGAGGAATAAAGGAATAGGAAGAACATTCCAACCTCAATGTAGCATGTGCAGAGTTGAGGGAGATAAGGAAGAAGTGAGGATGCACTGACATTTTAACATGGAAAGTAATGATGAGCCCTTTCTATGTACTGTGTGCGAGCACTCTGTAGACAATAGCTTGTTAAACCCTCACAGCCTCCTTATGAGGCAAGTATGGTGGAGCATCAGAGTGAGGAGGAGCCCATCAGCACACTTTCCTGTCTTTCTGCAGCAACACTTCTGACAGCCCTAGAGCAGGATGGGAATCTGGGGATATGCACGGTGGAAGAGTGAGGGAGTGGGCAGCTTGAGGATATTACCTAGGACATAGTTGAGATGACTGAGACAGCGAGGCACATGAAGTGGGGGGAAGGAAGGAGAAGTAGGATGCTAATAGGTGGAGGTCATAGAGAACGTGAGGAATGTGGTGAGCACAAAGAACCAAGGGCAGGTATTCAGGAAACTGGCATGAGGTTTAATTTTGAAATGTCAAAATTTATAATACGCCAAAAATAATATCCTCTGCAACTATTCAAATTTATGACAAAAAAAAGATGAAGCATTTAGGATATCAACTTACAAATAGTTTAAGAGGATACAAAGCTTTTTAAATCATTTTATGTGGTATTTGAGGAAAAAGTATGAGCTGGCCTTGCTCTCAGAGCTCCAGAAGTGAACCCCAACTGAGTTAACCCAGTCAAATTAATACCACCCCCCTTGCAAGTAACTGTTCAAAACAGCAGGGATTGGTTCAGAATTGGACATGTGCCTTCCTCTGGCTCAATGATAGTCTGAGAAAGTTTGCTGGGAAATTCTGAGAACAGTTTCCCACCATCCTGAGGAATGTCACAGGAAGAGACGTCTATATATGCTTGCCTGCAACTGCTGCTGCCATTTCACTCCCAAGTTATGGATGAAGGCACGTAGAGCTAAGAAAATTGAGAGGAAGTGGAGCCAGGGCCAAAAGAGTAAGTGTCCTGAAACCCCTTTACCTGTTGTTTTCCAATTAGGAGAGCTTATAGCTCACATTAAGCCAGCTTGAGTTGTAGTCTTACTTGCAGACAAAAACATTTTAAATGATATAAATACTCTCCCTTAACTTCTGAAAGATCAGGTATTAGTATATCCTAGTATAAGAATCATCTCCTCCCCAGAGCCTTCACTAACACTTGCAGGAAGGAGGTTCTCTCTTGGTCTCCTGAACCAGCATTTTACTCACCTCTTTCTTTGTACCATAGTTACCATGTCTCTTCCTGTTCATTGCTTCCCAAGACCCACAGAATAAAAACTTAACATGGCTCATAATGCCCTCCTGGTCAGGCTTCTCTCTCCCTCTCCACCTCCTGTTCCAAGCTCTCCAATAACTGTTGAAAGCTGTAGTCATGCTCAGGGTCCTGCAGAAGAAACACTGCCTATTCTAGAAAGCTTCTTTGCCTTTGCAAACAGGTTATTCCCACCACCTGCCCACCTTGCACACTTAACATCTACAGGACTCAGCTCCAGCATAGAGTCCCTTCTGTTTTGTTCCTCGCCCCTGCCCTTAAAACTCCTTCATTTTGTAGCAGTTACCTCATTGTATTAGTCTATTTTCATGTATGCTTTCTTCTTTATATCGTGAGCAAGAATGATGTTTTTCATCTTGGCATTCCCAGTGCCGAGCACATTTCAGGTACCTGGCGAATATTTGTTAAATGACTGTGTAGATGTGCTATCTACGTAACGATTCTGGGATACCCTTAAGGAGTAACTGGATATTTCATTCATTTTGTATCTAAAGAGCGTAGAACGATGTCTGACACATAGCTGATCATAATAACTATTTGTAAAAATAAATTCCTTTTCCCAGTCGGAATGATATTTAATTTAAAGCACTATTACCCTTTCCGCTGTCCTCCTGGTCCCCGCAATCAAGAAGGCTCTATTACTAGTCTCCTTTCCAAAACTAACCGTCATATGCCAATATACTGTCTTCCGGCACAAGGCACAATATGCCAAGGGAACCTTAGGTTTTTTACACTGCCCCGCCATTTCGCCCTCGCTGTTTACTTGGAGACGGTCTGTGAGAAAACCACAGTTCCCACCGGCCCCCACCTCGAGACCGAGGAAAGGAGTGCCCCTCCTTCTTCCGCCCCCGCGGCTGACAAGCACGGAACCGCAGTGGGGATGGATCCTGGCAGGGTCCAGGCCCCACAACCTCAGTGTGCAGGTTGGAAATGAAGGCCCGAGCTGACCATAAAGTCCAAGGTCACACGGCGAACCCGGGTCAGGAACGGCCCTAAACGTTGGATTTCTACTCGGCTTAGGAGCTGGGAAGTCGGGAGCCTAGGGCCCTCCTCCCTCCCGCCAGAACGGAATGAGGTCTCACCGCAGGCCGCTCCCGCCCCACGATCGCTCCGCTCGGGCTCCCGGGGCTGCTCAGCCCGCTCGCTCAGAACCCGCGGCTGTTGTCTTGGTTTCACTGGCGACGGACATCAGCTACTTCCGGTACCCGGGCCGCGCTCCAGCCAATCAGCACGCGTCCCAGTCCGCTGGAGGAACAGGTGGTTCGCATGCCAACACCTCCTCCCCTTTTCCAGCGTTTCTTTATACGGGTTCGCCCCGTAACCTGAGCGCCCATATCATCGCTGCCCGCCTAAGCTGCTCCCTGGAGTGACCCTGAGAATCGGCCAAGGCTCACTTCAGCCCCAGGATCACTCACGAGCTGGGTCCTCCGGGTTTCCTAGAACGGCTCCAAGGATGCACTTCCGCCGTTTGACAGACCGCTCTGCGCGCTGGTGTCGCTCCCCGAGCATTGACCTAGGCTTGAGAAATGGGGAGTGGGCTTCGTTTCTTCTCTGGGCAGAGATTGTGGGACCCCCTTAACACTCCCAACCTGCATCCTTTATCCCGCCACTACCTTCCATGAGCTCCATGAGTCTGGTAAACACAGACCCCTGGATCTCAGGAAGAAGCTGGGGGAGGAAGGGAGACCTGCTCTTAGGCCATGGAAGGCTTACTAAAGGAGAGGAGTGATGTTTGGGCTAAATTCTGAAGGTTGAACGGGAATTACTCAGGTTAAGAGTGAGGGGGAGAGCGGCGCAGACAGTGCGCAGAGCATTCTACGCTAGCCTTTTCGCCTCTTGAACAAGTGTGGCTCATCTCGCCTCAGAACGTTTGTACTTGTTACTTCTACTTTTCTTTCCACAAGGTTCTTGTTATTTAGGTCTCAGTTGAAAGGTAACTAGTTGGAAAAGCCTTCCACTCTACTTAATTATGCCTTAACCTACACTACCCCTTCCAAATATCGATTAGGACAGAGAGGGACTATTCCCCTATTTGGGTCTGGTGCACACCCTTGGACCAATCATTGTATTCAGGGGAAAGGGATAGTAGGATTAGCCAAATTTGGGTCACTTTCTACCCCACTTGTGGGGGGCAGGCTTCTGTGTGGGCCTCACCATGAAGGGTGACTATTCTCATAAAGGAATATTGTGTATATATATCCAGTATACAACCTAGCAGAAAAGAAAACTTTCTCTAGAGTTTGTCATTGGGGTAAGGCTCTAAACTCTAAGGTCCATCACTTTAGCCACTCTCCCACCAATATCCTTAACTCTGGCCCTATTTTCTGTAACTGCCCAGGAAGTTTGTTAACCCCAAATCAGTTGAAATATCCACTATCCTTGTCCAGGCTGTTAATAACTAGTGGGAAAAATTATACATTTTGGAGGTGAGCTCCAGGATAAACGTATGGTTTCCACTCCCCAGAAATCATTTTCTGTTTCCCTAGTCAGCTTGCCTACCATTTTCCACAATTGCTATCACAATCTTCTCTATTCTGCTCAAGCCATGATCCAAGAGAACTCTATTACCATCACAATTAATTGCCAGCTGCATTCATCCCAAGAAGCCCAGACTACAAAAATCTCTTGCCTCAGAACTCAGGGTGGGGGACATTTGGTTCTACTAAATACTTTTACCTAGTGTACCTGCATTAATGGGCATCTGCCCCAAGAGCCTAGATCAGTGATTCTCAAACTTGGCTGTGCATTGGAATCCCCTGGGGACCTTTAAAATATTGATGTCCAGTGCCACCCATATAAATTCTGTTGAAACTTATCTCAGATATAGTCTGGGAAAGTCTTTTTTGTTGTTGTTTTTAGAGAAGAGGTTGTGTTTGTGTTTTTAGCTTTCCAAGTGATCCTAACACGCAGCTAACAAGGCTGAAAACCAAAGGCCTAGTTCAGTGATTCTCCAAAAGTGGCCTCTGAATCAGAAACTTGGGCATTAGGGGTCAAAAATGTGTGTTTAAGAAGGCCTCCAGGGGTTCTGATGCACACTAAATTTTGGGTATGACTGGCCCTGATATTGACAGCGCTTCATATGATCAGCCCTCGTATGTGAGTTAGGCAGGAAAGGATAAGTTGTATCCTCCCAGCTGCTCCCCTGCCCATCTGCTTCATTACGCTAGACCATTTAGGGGCCGTGTGGAGAAATGGGAACCTGCGGAGGGAAGAAGACCAAAGCTTATGATCCACAAATACCATTCCCACTTCCAGTGTGCATGCGGACATGGATGACTAGGTAGGGGCTAATATTTCACGGTCTCCTGACAGGCTCAAGATTTTCATTGAATTGATTTTTATAGGTACGTATGAGTAGTTTTGCTCCTCTTAAAAAACAAAATGGCAGGTAGGAACCTTGCCTGCCCTCTTCAATTCACACAGGGACAGGCACATGAAAAATAAAAGACATACTGTTCATGTTCACACTTGTCCCTTCTCTTCTACCTGTGGAACACGTGGGAAGAAGGGCTACCAGCACCAGCTGTACTCATTTCTAATACTTTAAATCACGTCATTTCTCTAATTACTTTACAATTCTGTTTAGGGCCTGGTGCTGATTGTAATTATATTTTCAGTTGTCTATGGATCACATTCCAAACTATTACCAAACTATGAGCAACAGTACTCAATGTCATCCCAGACAGTATGTAAATGTAAGCCATTGTTAGAATTCTGGAAGAAATGACCATAAGCAACCCCCTTGCAAATCTTCAGGTTTTTCAAAACCCCTTCTCTCACAGGTGTACAGCAGGTCCTCAAATGATGTCATTTTTTTCAATGTCTTTGTGGTAACATTGTTGAGATGCCATAGGAACTTAACTATTGTTTATATCAATTAGCCTATGGTAAAACTGGTTTTGTTTTATGTCATTTCGCTTCAAGTCACAGAGCCTGTTAACAATGTTAAGTGAGGACTTAACTATATAACTGTGGGCCAGGATATGATTTAACACGAGAGCAGACTTGGAGAGCTTTCTCTTCCTGTGAACTGCTCTCCTCTTCCCACCTTCACACATCCACTTTGTAGATCACTTGCCCTTGATCTTACGTTCTTGATCCTGCCTACCTTCTCTTCTTTCAACTAGCCTACATATTCATGTAGGGCAAATATCCTACATGAATATTTCTGAGGCTCTTTTTAGAGAAAATAACGTGGGAGGAAAATCAAGTCCCAGTGTTTCCCACCATCACAGGGACATAAATTCCCATTGTGACTAGAGAACGTGAGACTGCCAGAATGACTCCTAATTCTATTCTCATGGCGTCATTGTCCCAGTTGAAAGTGTGACCCATCAAAAAATATGGGATGAACTATTCAGTCCCCCAGTAAGAGCCCTTCTCTAGGGCTCAACCCTCCTCCTCGCATGAATGTGGTCCATTTGCCATCTCCCACACTCTGTTTACCCACTGTTCATTCTGTATTTTCACTTATACCGTGAGCCTGCTCACAATGCTCACCTCGTTCCACTGCCACTGAAATCCATACTGTGACACTACCTCAGGGCCCCTCCCGTGAGGCTTAATTCTGCTGCCAACACCCACAGATTCTCTCTCTAGATTCATCCGGGGCTCATTGCCTTTCCCCCTCCATCAAACTCACTCTACCCCTGCAGTAACGAGCCGTTCAAATGACCCTCCTTGACCTCGCTGTGTTCATGCCATATAGGAAATCATGTATAAGTCTTACCCACATGAGCAAAATAGAGAATTTGAGGCATGGTTTAAAGGAACAATAACAAATCCAAACTTTACAAATACCTCACATCGTTCACAAAGCCTTTTCTGGCTTCCCTACTTCAAGACCTGGTTCCACAGATCAAATACGCAAAGCCTCCCCTGATTCCTCTCTTCTCACTCTGATCACTTCTCTACTGTTCTGACTCTTCGCATTTGAGCTAATTTGACCTCTTGTAGCTTGTGTTCTTTTGTAAGGATGTTTCCCATCTCCCCACCTGCCCTCAGGTACTGCACCCCTAACAGAGCACTGACCAAAGACGGCCTGTACATGTTGACTACAAGTCTGTGATTAACTTGAATTTCAACAGTGGCAAGAAACAGTACCTTAATCCAGAAGTCTTAAGAGCAATGTCAAGAATATGGGCCAGAAGGGAAAGCTGGTAAAAAAAGCAAATATAGCCAACTGGCTTTGCAGAGCCCTTTATGTCCAATTACATCAATAGTTATCACAGGGTTGATTACTTTTTCATAGGGTTGAATAAGAAATGCTGGCTGACACACCAGTCAACAAGTTCTATGTAATATTGGAGGGTCAGTGAAAAAAAACTGTAACAACCAGATGGTTGGTTAATGACGTTGGTTGATTTTGATAGTAGGAAGCTTAAAACTGGGAGGATTCTCAAATAGAATTGGGATGAAGTATGTGAGCAGCCAGTGTGAGGGGCTGATGTGTGCGAGTGTATATTTCAAATACATCTTTAGTTTCTGTTCCTTTTTCTCTTTCTTATCACACTGTGCTCACATTTTTATCTCTTTATTTTATATGTTTCAGCACTTATTTTTGGACAGGAACACCTCTGGATAAGCAACAATCAATTTTATAAAGTTACACACTCTTAACTAGACCCTTCCCTACTTGTTATTGAATATGTAGTTTAACCTACTGTACTGGACCCAAGGGAGGACATATTGATCTAGGCAGTATCTTTGGTACCAACATGTTAGAAGAATCTGGGGTCATTTCCAGCACTAGTGGGCAATTGCTGGAAGTTACCAGAGCCCACAAAGGGAAAAACAGCATCACTGGAGGAGATGGACAAGCATCTCCAAATTCGGTAAGCAGGTAATACCTCCCAGCATTCTAATAAATAGTGATTAATATGAGATGTGGGTTGTTTGGATGAGGGCAGATAGGGGGCTGGACCTGGAGGAGACCAGCCATCACGCAGAGGGACATATATGATTATATCAGGCCTTGTCAAAATCAAGGGACTCCCTTATCTTCACAAAGTCTAAGTGTTAAATTACCACATGCAGTGGCTATGTCAGCCCCCTCAGAGACCAGTCAAAGGTTTATTAACCAATGTTACCCCAATATAGTCAATAAAAAAGACAGGCCAGTCACAGGACTATTCTTCTTCTTTGGACTAGGTTACTCAAAACAAGAGCATGCCACATTCATATATGA